CCTTGCCTGGTATATTATTACACATTTACTCAATCTTTAGCCAATCTACTTTATTAGACATTTAAGTTGTTTCTCACTATTTATAATGTTTATCACACATTATTCACATTTGTTATATTTCTTTGGTATAAATTTCTAGAGGTAGACTGTTGTGGTTGCTGCTGTTAGGTGTGATCAAGTCAGTTCCAACTCATAGCAACCCTAGGTACAACAGAACAAAATACTGCCCAGCCTGGCCTTTCTCATAATCATTGCTGTGCTTGAGCCCATAGCTGCAGTACTTATATTTATATTTAATACTTCAAATGGTAACTTCAGATGAGGTAAGTGAGGTTAAATGATTTGTTGAAGGACACACAGCTTGGATGAAGGATATCGAGAACTTTATTTTTCATGTTCTAAAATGAAAAAGAATTGGTCTTCAGTGTGTCAGAAGTAAGCAATAAAACCCTTGGGCCAAAGTTCTATTGAAGCCAAGAGTTCAAGGACATTTAATAATAGATAAGACTCTTTGTACCAAACCATCTTTACAAGATGTTGCTTGGAAAATTATTATGAAGGTTTAATGAATTACAGGTCTTTTACTGTTAGATTTATCATTCCTACATAAATTTAAATCCAGATCAAGATTGGAAGATTAAGAGATTGCTAAAAAAAGGTGCCTTGATATGCTGACGGCATCCTTCTTACCATCCTTCCTTCATGAAAGAAGGCTCAGCCAGAGATGCTGAAGGAGATGCTGAAGGAGACTATGGTATCCATAACTCCTTTCTCCCTGTTACCACAGCATGAGGACAAAGAAACCAACTGTATATGTTTTGTGATGGCTAAAACACAACCAGCAAACTATTTCTAGACATATTCAGAAGCTGGCATCTAACTTTTTGTTTCTGAATACTTTTTTTCATTTATATCCCAATTAATATATAGGGCTAGGCTGTCACCTGGTAGGTTAACCTTGTCTGACAATGTCAAAGTCTCCTCTCTTTAATAACTAATAGAACTGTTCATGAGTCAAGAATTTAAGCAACAAGAACTCAGTAACAATAAAGGAAACTTCAGAGTTAAATGTTCCAAAACAAAAGAACAAGCTTGCTGGCAAAATGTAATCTAGTAAGAATTGGTCAAAGGTTTATTTTGGTAGGGTTAAGGAATTTGAGGAGTCTGGAGGAATGGAGATGTTGATGATTAAAAGGGGAAAAAATTCCTAGCCATTTGTCGTAGTTATCTAGTGCAGCTATAATAGAAATATCACAAGAGGATGGTTTAACAAACAAAAGTTTATTTTCTCAGTTTAGGAGGATAGAAGTCTGAATTCAGTGTGCAGGCTCTAGGGTAAGGCTTCCTGACTCTATGGCCTCGCAGGTTAGGAGGAAGGTCCTTGTCTCCTTTCAGCATCTATGGGCCTGGCAATCCATTCCAATATCTATGTGTCTGTCTTGCAACAATGTGCCCCTAGGTCTAGAAGGTTCCCAGCACAGGGACCCTGAGTCCAAAGGACATGCTTTGGTCTCTTTTTTTTTGGTGGTAATCAGGTCCTTCTCTCTGATGGCTTCCCTCTTCTTTTAGTTCTTGTGAGATAAAAGGTGATGCCGGCCACAACCCAGGGAAACTCTCCTTACATTAGATCAGGGCTGTGACCTGAGTAAGGGTGTTGCATCCCACTCTAATCCTCTTACAACTGATTGGCTGATTATATCAGATCACATCTTGACTGATGATTGCATCATTACACAAGGACCAAACCACTGATGATCATGGCCCAGGCAAATAGATACATATTTTATGGGTCAACAATTCAATACATGACAGGTACTATTCTAAGCCTTTTACAGGCATTAACTTACTCAATTCTTATCACATCCACACAAGCTAAACATTATTTTGAAGAAACAAAACACCAAAACAGTTACCATTGATTCCAACTCATGGCAACCCGACAATGGCTATGATATTTTGGAAGTAGTTTGTCAGGGCTTTCTTCTGCAGTGCCTCTGGGTGGATTCTAAGCACCAACCCTTTGGTTAGCTGCCAAGTGCTTAACTATTTGTTGTTGTTGTTGTTGTTGTGTGCCGTCGAGTCGGACCCGACTCATAGCGACCCCTCCTTGGGTTTCCGAGGCAGTATCACTACGGAAGTAGATTGCCCCATCTTCCTTCAGAGGAGTGGCTGGCGGGTTTGAACCTCCAGCCTTCTGGTTAGTAGTCAAGTGCCTTATCCACTATGCTACCAGAGCTCCCATAACTATTTGTACCATCTAAAATCAAAAAACCAAAGTTACTGCCGTCAAGCCAATTCAACTCATAGTGATCCCTCCTTGGGTTTCCAAGGCGGTATTTCTACTGAAGCTTGTGTATTTAGTGTATTTAGCTTGCGGTATTTAGATTGCCCGATCTTCTTTCCGAGGAGTGGCTGGTGGGTTTGAACCACCAGCCTTCTGATTAGTAGTCAAATGCCTTAGGCACTATGCCACCAGAGCTCCTTGTACCACCCCAAAGCAGGGTCTCCTAAATATTATTAATTCCCCTGTTTTACAGATGGAAGAAATGAGGTCGTCCAGCTGTTAGGGGGTGGTGTTGGGGTTTTAAACCTAAATATCTACCACCGGAACCCACATTCATTGTCTTATTATACCTCAAAAACTTATGATATATGCAAAGTCTGTCTTAGGTTCTTCCACTTTTTCTTTCTCCACGGCCTATTTCTTTTCTTAAATACAGCCCTACCACAGGTGTAATGGGCATGCTTAGGGAAAGCACTTTGGAAAACACAGAAAGATAGAAATCGAAATGGTTTGAACATGGTATTACCACCCAAAGAAGACCATTGTTAAAATTCTGGTATTTCTTTCTAGTCTTTTTTCTAAGTATTCAGATTTGCTTTGTATGCTTGTTTCACAGAGTTGTAATCAAATTGTATATACAAATTAATTTCTTTTCTCCCTCATAATATTACATGTGCTATACCATGCTATTAAAAACATCATAAACTTCCTTATATTGGCAGCATAATGTACCATTACATGGCTGCTCCCTAAAATACTTACCAATCCGTCCTCCCATGGTGGACATTTGGGTTTTTCCAGCTTTTTCACTGTGAGATGTGTATCTTTATCTCCTCTTTCTTGATATCTTCTCCCTTTTGATAGTTCATCAATTCTTCCTCAGGCATCTAGTAACCTTGAGATGCCTCTATCCTTCTTTCCTTCTCTCAAAGTTTACTTTCTGGAAAGAAGTTGATAAACTCATTCATACTAAAGTATAGATGACTAATAAGGCTTAATCTCATCAAGGATACTTGTATTAATTTAAGCCAAAATGAAGCTCTAATTTTGTGGGGTAGTAAGTCATTAGAAGATGGAGTCGAGGAGATATTTTTCCCACTCAAACAGAGAATAGATTCCACAGTGCAAAAAGGCGTAGGGCTCATTTAATTTTAGGAAAACTTACCAGAAGACAGCATACAGCTGCAGGTGTAGTGGTGCAGTGAAGGGGAGGAGAGAGATTGTGTAAGCGAGGGTGAAAAAACTGGGTAGAAGCATGGTGGAGGAGAATGAGAAAATTCAATTAGCAGTGCTGAGTCAATTTGGCACCACTAACCTGGTTTCTCCCAACTCTCCCTATTTGCCTTACCACAGCATTTGGCCTTAGGGAAGGGCTTGCCCACCTACTCTGCGGAACAGCCTGGTCTGGTTCTCAGTCCTCATTACTTTCCCAAATTTCACAGTGGCCGCAGAAGTGAAATTCTAAGAGGTCTTGTAAGAGATGTCTATATACAGAGTAACCTTCCTAGTTCTGGGACCACAGAAAAATTCTGCTGGAGCCTTTCTCCTTCTATTCATAATTAATAAATAATAAATAAACAAACAAACACCCAAACTCACTGCCGTGGAGTCGGATACAACTCATAGTTGACCTCTACTTCGGTTTCCAAGGTGGTATTACTAGGGAAGTAGACTGCCCAATCTTCCTTCCAAGGAGTGGCTGGTGGGTTTGAACTGCCAGCCTTCTGGTTAGCAGTCAAATGCCTTAGGCACTATCCCACCAGAGGGAGGTGGGACTAAAGGCCCCGTGTGGCCGATCAAAACCAAACCCACTGTCATACAGTGGATTCAGACTCACAAAGACCCTATAGGACAGACTAGCCTGTAATCTTTACGGAAGCAGACTGCCTAAACTTCCTCCCGCGTAGCGGCTGCTAGGTTCAAACCACCGACCTTTCGGCTAACTACACCACCAGAGCTCCTTGGAGGCCCCGTGTTAAGGTTCACCAAATCTTAACCTGCACCCAGCACCCTCTTTTCCTCCTCTCCGAAGCTTCAGGCTTTGTGGTGGAGGAAAGGAGACTCAGAGCAGAACTCAGTTTCCCTGACTCTAAGCCTCTCCCAACTCAAAGTGCACCAGGTGCTGGATTGGAAATAGCTGATGTGAGGAAGGGGTGGGGGATGTTGCAGGATGAAATCCAAATCATGGGGAGCCAGCAGCTCCGCTTTGAGGATTAGGGAGAGACAGAAATCCTTAATGCGAAAACCTAGCATGGGAGGTGGGCGTGGAAGTAAGGGAGCGAGACCCCAGGAAACTGCCAAGCGGATCGCAGTGTTCTCGAGAGGCTGCCCCAGTCAGTGCTGCAGCTCTGGTGCCCTCCGGGGCGAAACCTCTCGGACCCGCGCGCCCTAGCGCCCACCCCGACCCGCCTCCAGGCAGCCGCTCCTCCCAGCTCGCTGGTTGGCCCGGAGCGGAGCGCTACGGTGGCGGCGGGAGGAGCCGGCGCCCCCACGCACAGCAGCAGGGGTGGCAGGGGCTCAAGAGCAGCTGGCAAGGCGCTGTCCCAGGCAGTGGTGGTGACGGCGGACGGCGGCAGCAGTGACAGCGGGGGCGGCCACCGCGCACCTCCTCCCGGGCGCGCCGTGGAGCTGCTGAGGTCCCAGGCCCCAGCCCGCCGCGCCCGGCCGAGCTCTGCTCACAAGAACCACGGAGACGGTTCCGAGCCGGGCTCCAGCCATGGGGAAGCCGGCGAGGAAGGGTTGGGACTGCAGGCGCTTTGTCAAGAACAACTGGCTGCTGCTCTCCACAGTGGCTGCAGTGGTGCTAGGTGAGCGCTGGCGGGTGGGCGACACGCGCCCCGCACCAAGGCCGCGTGCGCATGAGGGTGGGCGCGCATGACAGTGGGCACGACAGTGGGCGCGCACCAGGCTGGGCCCTGGATGTGCGCGCACCAAGTGGGCACGGCGTTGGCGCACGCGGCACCGGGACTTCAGCTCCAGCTTGGTTTTGATCACATGCGGGGGCTTCTCCCTAAGCGTGTGGATCTCTGCGTTCACAGAACACAGCTCCTCGGGGACTCCCGTTGTGGGGTTCCACGAACTGCTTTACGCAAAATGATCAGGGGACTTGGAAGGGGGGGAAAGGAAAGCGAGTGGCTCTCCTTCTTCCCGTCTGGAAGCAGACATAGTTTAATTTTTTAAAACTCTATCTGCCCCCCCCCCCATTTCTCTTCTGAACCTCGTGGACCCACAGAAACTTGAGTGTGGATTGGAGTCCTCGGTTGGACTGGCAGAGGCACCTTGGGCTCAGAGGAGGCAGGGCTGGGAGAGGCAAGGTGTTGCGTGGCTCACCCTAGGCAGTGCCTTCCCCAGCATGAGCACACCCAGGGGCACTGTAAGCCTGCCAGAGTCTTTTCTGAATCCAAGAGTGAGCAATTAGTGCCCGTGGAGGGGACAGGGACCAGCACGGAGAGAAGTCAGATGCCCCCTTTCCACCAGGGTGGTGTGCTGAGACAGCTCCCTTCCTTCTAAGCCTTCTTGCTCTCCCTATTGTTCTTTTATTGAAAATAAATTTCAAATAATCTTGGCTTGTTTTTGAACCAGGGTTGTTTTTAGGTGATTCACTCCTGACAGGTCACTGGATTAGGTGCGTAAAACCATTGTTCACATATACATGTTACATTGTACTTAGATTCTGAATTTCTGCCAAGGTTCTCTGTCTGAAATTGGGCTCTGCAGTACATTTGTTTGAGGTTGGGGCCATACTGCCTTCCTCTTGGAGTTCACATAGGTGGGGGCATTCAGCAGGTGAGGGTTGCTGCACTGTCTCTGAACTTGGAATCCTTGGCAGTTTCCATTTTCCCCTTTGGAAATAGGAGCTGAGTTTGAGGGAAGGGCACGTGCAGGAGACAGGCCTGCCCCCCTCCTAACCTCTGCCACCTTCCTTCCCGGCTGCTGCTTCCCATTTTTGGGAATATTTGATGTTGCCTGTTCCCTCTCCCTGTGCTTCCTCCCCTACACCAAGAAAAAAAGCCTTTGAAAGTGAATGTAATCCTCAGGGTCAGATATCTGTCATACTCCAGAACCTTCTCCCAAGGAAAGTCAGGTTCCTAGTAAATAAATAACACCCTGGAATTGCCTTGGTAGAAGCCCTTTGTGGGAGGAAAGGAAAGAAGTAGAGAAGTAAGTCTTGACTATTTCACCCTACTTCCCCCAAGAAGTACTAAGCATCTCTATGGAGGGTCAGTCCTGCCCCACCACATTGAAGTAACAGACCCCACAGAGAGTGCCTTGATATCTCTTCAGCCGGATAGAAAAGATGGCCTTGTTTGCCCAGTGGTAAGAGTACAGAGTTCATCGTTACATCACTTAAGGACATTAGAGATAGCTCTGGGTTTGTAGCTCCCTCCCAGTTCCTGAGGAGGTGGAATAATCGCCCCTTCTCTGCTCTGGACCTCTCCAGAGATGCTCTTGTTACCTAAGTGTTTCACACTGGTGTCTGTGTACCTATGGCTAGAGGCTTGGAAAGGGTTTTGAGCAATCGTTTCCTGAGGCCTTTGTAACCAGTTGCATCACTACATCTCAAGGGTGAGCAGGAATTACCTGCCCCATTTTACGGATGTGGCTTTTGGGGTCAGAGAGGCACTTTTGCGGATGAGCCCCAGGAGTTTGATGTGGGCATATTTCCCATGTTTGAGCAGATACCCTTGTCTCTAGAAAGAAAAGCCACCCTGTAGAAATCTTGACTGTACCAGGCAGTCATTGTCCAGCTGAAGTCTTCCTGGCTACTAATTCCTCCAGACAGCAGGCAATTCATGTCAGTCCCTGCCTGATCTTGGTCTGGGGTCTCAAACCAAGACCACCCCCGACATCCCCACCATCAGCAGCTGCTTCCCAGAGTCCTTCTCTTTTTAATCTATAGAGTACTGGGCCCAGGTGGAAATCAGACCTCCATTTGTGTACTCTGTGCTGGCTCATTGACCAGCAGTTAATCAGGAAGGAGTATAATTAATAATTATGAATTAATTTTTCCAGTCACCATAGAGTAGATTTCAACTTATGGTGACCCCATGTGTCAGAATAGAACTATGCTCCACAGGATCTTCAATGACTGATTTTTTGGCAGCATACAGATGCCTTTCTTCTTAGGCATCTTTGGGTGGACTTGAACTATCAACCTTTGGGTTAGCGGCCAAGTGCATTAACTATTTTCACCATTCAGGGACTTCAGTTAATTTATTAGTGATAATTAACCAGAAGTGAAGTTCCAGTAGACCTAAAGCAGTGATGTAAGTCTTACTAGGACTATAAGTCTCACTAGGCTATGCTATTAAGAGTTGATTTTTATATCTGCCTTTTGTTGTTGTTGTTTGTCATCAGAAAAGTCACAAAGAAGTCACACACAGCCCCCATCCTGGACCATTCAGAATGTGGGGCTGAAAGCAGAAGAAACCACGGAATGTATGACTTGCCCTGACAGAATGTCATCTTCTGATTCCAGCCATTGAAATGTTTATTTCTTATTCTCTAATCCAATAGGCCTGAGACTTTGAAAGGTTTTGGTTATTGAAATGAGGGATAAAAATGTTTATGGGCCAGTTTAAAGCCTTTGATTTTTTAAGATATAGCAAGTAAGGAGAAACACAATTAAAGGTCATTTTCAAATAATTTGCACTCTATCACTAACCTAAAGGTTGACTGTGAACCCACCCAGTAGTGCTGCAAAAGAAAGGCCTGGTGATCTATTCCATAAAGATAGTTGTTGTTTGTTGCCATTGATTCATTATAACCACAGAAACCCTACGGAGCAGTTTTTTTCTGTAACACTTGGCGTCACCATGAGTCAGAATCAACTCAATGGCAACTACTTTGGTTCTCAATTCAGTTTATTGGTTATGAGAGTTAATTATTCTTTGCATGGACAAAAAACCAAACAACCAAACTGGTTGCCATTGATTCCAGCTCATGGCAACCCCATGTAAGAGCAGAACTGTGCTCTATGGGGTTGCTTAAGGCATTTGACTGCTAACCAGAAGGTTGGCATTTCAAACCCACCAGCCGCTCTGTGGAAGGAAGATGGGGCAATCTACTTCTGTAAAGACTTACCACCTCAGAAACCCAAAGGGGGTTGCTATGAGTCGGAATCAACTTCATGTCAGTGAGTTTGATTTTGGTTTTTGGAAGAGCTAAGCATTTACTAAATTCTTATTCAAAGATTGAGTTTTTGGAAGAGCTAAGCATTTACTAAATTCTTACTCAAAGATTGAGTAGTTAGGTACAAACAAAAAACCAAACTCACTGCGTTCTAGTTGATTCTGACTCATAGTGACCCCTCCTTGGGTTTCAGAGGCACTATCTCTATGGAAGTAGATTGCCAAGTCTCTCTTCTGAGGAGTGGCTGGTGGATTTGAACTACCAGCCTTCTGGTTAGCAGACGGATGCCTTAGGCACTACACCACCAGAGCTCCTCGTTAGGCACAATCTTTGTTAATTTCCATTAAACTGTACAAAGCCCTGTAAATAATATCTTGGATATTAAGATGGTGGCCTTTAATAAGATACCAATAGGGACAATTTTCATTATTTTTATTATGATTCTTACAGGTTTTGTCTCTGCTTCTCTGGTATAAGATAGTGAGCACAGAGCCTGGAGTTCGGAGTCTTGAACTTGAATTCTGTCTCTACCACTTAGAGAAATCTGTCTTGTTTTCTCATGTGAAAAATGGGGATCTTAGTCATTACCTCTTTTATTATTAGAGTTAATTAATATAATATGGAAATACACAGTTGTGTGCCTGACATATAATAGTTACTCAATATGTTATTTTAAGGTGAATCTGAATAACCTGATTCTGAGAAAATTCATACTCTCTTAGGAATAAGAGCCCTCATGTTGTGACTCTTTGTCTTCTGCTTAGTGTCCAGCCTGTAGCTGACTCCAGAGTAACTCCAGTATTTTGATGACACTCTCTGCCCAGGCCATTACCAGCCACCATGGTGTTATCTAGTTTTTAAAGAGGAGATAAAAAGGAATTCATTGTTTTGTGCCTGGTTTGCAATTCATTCAACAGGCAGAAATTCTGAGGAAGAATTTTGCAGTCTGACTAGAAATTCAGTCCAAGCAGAGCTACTGGGTGAGAGTTCTGTGTCAGAGAATTCTAGTTTGAGAATTCGTCCAATAATTGTCATTTAGAATGTCCCAGCCAATGCATCTCACATGTAACCAGCACCCACCTGTCAGCAGAAGCTTGTGTGTTGCTATGACACTGAACAAGTTTCAGTGGCACTTCCGGTCCAAGACTACGGAGAAAGGCCTGGTGGTCTTTCAGCCAGTGAAAACCCTGTGGGGGCACACAGTCTGATCTGCAGCTGACCGTGGGGATGTGCAGTACCCAGCAGCATTTCATCCCATTGTGCGTGGGGTTGCCACAAGTTGGGAGCTGACTTGATGGCAGCTGACACCACCACAAATGGTTAACACACTTGGTTGCTAATCAAAAGGTTGAAGGTTCAAGTCCACCCAGAAGTGCCTTGGAAGAAAGGCCTGGTGATCTACTTCCCCCAAACCAGCCACTGAAAACCCTGTGGAGCACAATTCTACTCTGACATACTTGGAGTTACTATGAGCTTGACACCAAGTGTTTAGATTTTTTTTTTTTTTTTTTTTTTTTAGTGTATAATATTGATAAAGCACTCATGGGACTCTTAGTCCATTTACGTGAAGCCTCTTCTTTCCAGCCATCTGAAGAACTCGGCATCTCAATCTTAGGGATTTCCAAGAAAGGACATTGACATTTACGTAACAGTGCTGACAAGCTTATTCATTCAA